ACCGGAGGTCCGCCGGTAAGCTAACAAAGTGATCCTGAAGATTTTTAAGGTGATATCTATTGGCCTGATACAAGAGAAAACGAGCGTTTGAGGATATTGTTTTCCCTGCAATGCTCTTCGCAGATACTGTGAGTTTGTGGTTTAAGAAAGTTAGTAGGTGACACTACATCAACTTAACTGCCCACAATTCCGACTAAACTTTTTCCATCAGACACGTCCCTTGACCTTTGTCCACATAGGTGTGCGCACCCACCACATAAAGGCAAAAATGCAAACGTTCAGTCAAAACGCGGCCAAACGCATACTCAATAAGTATCTAGGAGTCCTGCGCTTTACCTCCTCGTGCTTCCAACTATGTAGATTTTCATCGCACAGCTAGGATAGTACGTAAATGTAGTAAGTAACAATTATTTTTCGCTCACGCCCAAATAAACAGCCTCATACCCTGGGTCATTCAAGCCTGTGAAGTCTTCTGGCAACAAAATTACTTAGATTTCATAGCCTACAGATATAATAGATAAAATACAGATAAAATAAACGCTACTGGTGCGGAATTCAAGCTGTGTGTCAAAAATGTCGAGTATAGCGCTAATTTCCCCACAGCGTGCGTATTCATCTGCAACTTGTGCGCAAACACAGCTTGGTGATTCACCGGGGTTTCATTTATTCTAACAGGAGTTTATGAAAATGCATCCAGGGCATCTCCGATAACAAAAATGTTCATTTTAAACGATGAAGTTCATCCACAACCTCTGAGGCAATGGGGAATTCAGAAATGAACAGTAGTACTTAATCTACTCGCTTTTAAGTCTCAACCCGTAAACTTATTTACAGCCAAATGTAAACAATAAATTAGTCAAAACGCAACACAGGACCAGTGGCAGAATTTAAAATATTGATGAAATAGCTACCAGAAGAAAATAACCCGCTTTTAAGCTCTGGTACATGTGACTTTACGCGTAAACAAAAAATAGAAACTGCTTGTCATCGATGGCAATTTGAGGTGTTAACAAATCATGCCTCAAGACGCTCGTCTTCAAGGAGACTCTGGCTCAGGTGGATTAATCATCAATATGCTTCTCACTATGACGGATAACATATGAACTTGATTTCTTCAGGCAATCTTTGCACATAGTACATCTTAGTAGAGGGACCCTGTGTTTTATCTACAATACACTTCGAGCAATTGGAAGATAGGGAAAAGGAGGGAGTACCGCCCGGCTGTGCAGGCTTCCGCATTGGTAGAGTAAGTAAGAGAAGTATTACGTGGAGTACATATCTGGTTGAAAAAAGTAGACAGTAATTCACCCGTGGATATTTTAAAAAATTGCAGGATCTTACTTATAAGGTTTCGTATATGCGTAGGAAAACTTCGCTTAACTCTGTGCCATCTAAAGTAATGAGTAAACTCACAGCGCCACAATAATCGCGGTTTAGCCCTGCCTTGGAGAGGAAGGTGAAAGACGCCAGTAGAGGTTGCGTACTATGTTCATAAACTCCCTGATGATCAGAGCCCCCGGAACTCGACCGGATTTGGGCATGCGCACGGGTATATTCGTTAGTGTGGTGTGGGCGTGTGGTGTACGGTTGTCCAGTTCGAGGCACCCGTGCACGAGTGATTGATTGTACCATGCAACTGGTGAATGTTTCTCACTTTTCCTAAATGATTCCTAAATCTCATCTGTGGCTCACCCAATCGGTTTTTCTGGATACATTCGGGCGGATTGCAGGAACAACCCGGAAATCTCAACTACTAGAATCAACTTCCCAATCGTTAATTCTGCCCAAGCCCTCATGCTTCGAAGAAGCCGACGACCCCCCTCACCGGTGACCACACTCCCGATGCCCCCATCGCCCTCGATCACCGGTACCATCCTCCCTGCCACAACCCCCGCGCCGATCACGGCGGCGGTGGC